TAAAATATATTAATTTTATTATTTGGACTTAGGTGTGTCGATTTATTATAAATTGAGATAGTTTTATTTTGTAGGTAGTCAAACTAAATAAAAAATAAAGTATTTAATATTAATTTCTAGGCCCCGACTAGGCACCGCCTAGGCCCCGCCTATGCGCTCTAGGCGCTAGGCGCTGGTCGAGCGCCTAGCGGGCGCCTAGCGACTTTTAGAACACTAATAAAGCTTCAGTTCTTTTTAAAAATCTGCCTTCGAGCATTTCTTGATGCAAAATCTTCAAGAACAACATCAAGATCAATTTGATTCTGTTGATGTTATTGGGCTTAGAAGTTAAATTAATTATTACTTGAATTGACCAATACATCTACTATACATATATATACATAATACTCATGGGCCCCCTAGCCTCATGGGCCCTTGGGCGTCGCACCAGCTGCCACCCCCCTTAAGACGGGCCTGCAAGCAGGGGCGTTTTTTAGGCGCCAAATGATGAGGAAGCAGAAAAAATTGATTTGTGTAGTGTAGATTATTAGAGGATCACCTCATGATGAAAGCGGTAACGGGTTGAGCACACAAAATAGGGGAGCGATCGCCGTCAGCTATTCTTTGGATCAACGGCTTGATATCTTCATAGGTAACTATTGGAACCTTTGATTTGAAGGTGTTTCGGTCGAGATTGAAGGGTTTGAGATATTCAGTGTCTGCATTTTGGGCCAGGATTTCAGCCAACATCTTCTCTTGGACCGCACCAGCATTCCGAGTCATGTCTTCTATCAACTCAAGGCCCATCAGAGGTGATGGTGAAGTCGAGTTAGACTTAGATGCCATTGATTGAGAGGGGAAGTGATCACTAGTGAGCAAATCGTGAGTTATGAGATTTTGGTATTTTTCTTCATGGAATAAATAGATTGCCAATATTCAGATCAACTAAATTAATATATTTCGTCCATCTTCCCCCATAGATGCTGTTTATAGAATAAATTAAAATAAAACGCATTGAGATGAGCACACACGATTATAATAGCAGTTTCCACCACATGGCCATTTCACGAGTTCCGGGCCTTCTGTCAATATACCAATTTTTTAATATTCAACTCGTACTGCCTGTTGTTGGAGGGATTTGAATTCCCTTGATTTTTCAAAAATTTTGAAATATAAATTTTTCACTTGCACATTTTCGTGAATAGATGTGTTGAAAATATTATAAATCAATTGTTTAGCTCACTTCCATTGTGTTGACTCACGGTGGTAATGAACTTAAATGATCGCGGATAAACAGTGGATTTTAAATGACTAGGTTTGAGAAGTCATTTAAAATCCTTCAAAATAATGACTAAGGGAGTGTATTTAAATAAGGGGCAAAAAATCTGAATTTTCCAATCTCGAATCGAACCGAACCGAAATGGTCTCATTCTGAAAAATAGGTATCAATCAATTTTTTACATTTCCGTACCGTTCCCGGTACCAAACCGGTTGAAACTGTCGGAATCGATTTTTAATATTTTTTTCCCGAACTATTTCGTTTGTCCCCTTTTATTTTTTTGTACAAATTATATATATATATATATATATATATATATATATATATAGGGTTGGGTTCACATGAGAATGGTTCCTAGTGAAAGAAATGAGAATAAATTGTAGCCATTAGATCGAATGATCTAATGGCTAAAAAAAAGACAAAATTATATCTTCATTAAGGGTAATGTAGTAATTTAGCACACTACACCTAAAGAAGTGGACCCCAATCTAATTTAATTAACCTGCCAATTAAGTCTCAACTACTCACGCACCCACCAACACACACTACTCACACACATCAATACACACGCACACCAACACACACACACACACACACACACACACACACACACACACACACACACACAGAGGCAGCAACCAGTCCCACCACCTTCACCACCGGCGCCGTCGCCCCGCCACCATCTCCACCCTTTTCTCCGCCCGCCGGAATCCCCACAGCGCCGCTCTCACCGCCGATATCTACTCAATTTCAGTACATTATGTCGTCGCTCGTCGATGCAACTCCGCCGCCACTCGCCTCTGCAACTCCGCCGCCACTCGCCGCCGCGAGACCGCCATCTCCGACACACACGCACATCGTTCAAGCGTTCGATACTGCCGCTCGCCTCCGACCCCACACACACAGAGATCGCCGCCTTCCTAACCATCCACCGTCTTCCTCCGCCACAGGGCTCCAGGCGTGCCGCCTCCGGATGAGCAAAGACCAACTGCGAACAAGGCTCCAGACGACGGTACGACCGTGACGAACGTCCGTGACTGTCGATTCGCCGGAAAAAAAACGCCTGAAATCTGAAATTGAAGTATGGTGTGGTTGGGCCTTTTGTTGAGAATTAGATCAAGCTTAGGGACTTGTTTGAAATTTTATAAATTTAATTATATCTCAATTTAACCACTTGGGTCAAATATGTAAATAGGTAAAGTTAATAAATCATGGTTTTTTTTGTATATTTTGTTGTGCATATATATTAAATATCAAATAAATTATTAAATAAAAGTAATATAAATTATTAAATAATTAATAATAATAAATAAATTATATAATAAAAATAATAAATGAAAAGATATTTTAATTATTTAGGTTAATTAATGTAAAAGTTATATATATTAAAACTAGTTTTCGAATACACATGAGAAATTATAAATTAGTGCACTTTACATAACGGAATATTGCACTTTATAAAACAACACGTTGAACTGTATAAACAACACATTGCACTTTATAACTGCGCTCAATATTCTCAAGAACTATAGCCAAATTATTACGCAATATATAAATATAAAACATGGAGCAACATAATATCCATCACATCATATATCACGAAAAAAAAATACAATCCTGTTAAAAATATGAGAATTTCAGTACTGCACTTTATATATCAATACATTGCACTTTATACAACAATATGTTGCACTTATAAAGTAGTACGTTCCACATACTAAAATTACAGTAATTCTAATGATTGATAGAATAATATAAAATACTAAAATAATTTATAATGATAAATAAATTATATAATAAAATAATAAATAAAAGTATATTTTAACTATTTAGGCTAATTACATGTAAAATTATATCGATTAAAACTAGTTTTTGGATACATATGGGATAATATAAATTAGTGCATTTTATAT